CCTGCAGTTTTTATTAGAACCATAAGTTTTATATTGAAATAAATAAATAATTTTTTTCTTTTGCCTGATTTTGTTATTTATATGAATTATTTTTATTTTGGTCCTTAAAAATAAATATATATAAACAATACATTTCGTCATAACTTTACATTTTGATCAATCTGATTATGTAATTTTTAGATATTAATTGACTGATGTTTTGATTAGTTAATCAGTTCTTGTGTTTTTACCAAAAAACTTTTTTACGCTTACTTTTAGCTTCAGTAAAATATGTTGAAGTAGTGCTACTTTTAAAATGTAACTTTAATTGAATAATGTGGTGGTTATTTTACTTCAGTTAGCTAAATAACTAACCGAAGTAGTTAGAAGTATGTAGTAGTAGTATGTTGAAACAACATAATTCAACAATTATCTTCTACACACAACTTTTTATTAGAATAACTGAGTCTCTAACTAAAATCTGTATTTAATATACATAGAAATACTTTTTCTCTTCAATATCTGGTATTTAGACTTATTCATATTACAGGTTTGAAATATATATCTTTTCATAAGTGTATATTTTTGAGTTCCAGTAATATTTTTTTTTCAGCTGCCTGAATAGATAATAATAAAACTATGCTTACGGGAGGATTAAACAGATTGTTTTTTAAAAGAAAGTGTTAAGTGCAAACATTAGAAACATATAAAATCCTTCTCTCAAACTTAAAAAGTAAGCTCTTGATATTTGGCACTTTAATTTCTGCATGCACTGGCATAAACTCTGGGATGACATCTCAGTAATTTGTTGGACATATGGAAGAGAAACTGTTAACAAAAGTATCAATCTTCTGAGAGTAAAATAGATCCGATACCAACATTCACATTGGAATTTACATTATCAATATTTAAACGCCCAGCCCTAATAAAAATACAAAACTGAGTTGTCAAGGTCCCTCATAAAACACGTACAAGATATACTAAGAGTCGTAAATAAATAAAATAAACCATAAAACTAAGAACAATAAAGGCACTGACAGCGATAATAAACATGATTCTGCATATAAAAAGTTACTGTGTAAAAGACCTGATATTTTTACTAGAATACTTCTTTTTTTTTTTTTTTTAGTAAACCGTAGTCTGTTACAAATTTGGGTAGTAAGTACAAGTTTCTGTATGTATTGAAACTTACAATACATACATTACCCAAAATTTTACCCAAAAATTTTGGGTAAAATTTTAATGAGGCTTCATTTAAGATTCCAATCTAAAATGGAGTAATCATCTTGCTTCACCAGCAGGTGGCGACATTGTCAACATGCGACATTCAACTGGGAAAGAAGAAGATCGCGAACATCCACGAAGAAATCCAACGATCCTTCGAAAACTGTTTTACTTCGACATCATGCACTTATTGAGCTGACATTTTAAATGGAAAAAGATTCGGGAAAAGGTGAAACTCTTAAAAGAAACAACTCTTGAAAAGTCATCCGCCGTTGTTTGGAGAAAGGAAAATTTGTTAGCTTTCTGAACAATATGTCCGTGTATTCAGGCCAAATGTTTATTGTTTGACTAATATTTCAGGTCATTCTTTTTTCTTTTTTTTTTCTACACAACTGAAATTTAAAAACAAAAGAAAACAGGTTTAATTATACAACCAAACCTACTTCTTGGTTTTAAGCTAACATTTGTCACAATAAACTATTACTGTACTTATTCAATTGATGCACAATATCTAACGTGAATTCATTAGCTTACATTGCACAATAATTGCATTATAAATAACAAAACCAGATGTTTACATGCACTGTAAAAAGCGCAGTTTCTGTCTCACTGACAATAAATGACACTGCTTTCTTGTTTTCGATTAGTTAAGCTCACCATATCTTTTTTCCCTTTTGTTAAATCTCAGAATAATGAGTTTCTTCAAATGTCTATGAATTCATAAAACTGGTTGTGATCATAAAATCAAGACAATACCATCCCAGACTCCAAAGACACCATAACCACTTGAAGTTATTTTGTTTTTATCCAATGTTTCTCACAAAAACAGAACCTGAATTTGTAAAAAATATTTAGCTTTGTTTTCCCTCAAGGTGTAATTTAGATATTTTTCTGTTCTTTCTCGGTTCTGAAGGACCTGAAGTTGGACTGTCGGTTTTGGTTTTTGGGTTTACACCAAATGAAAATGATGACAGAGACAGTAATAGAAGTGTAGGGTGTGGATTTTGAACCATGGACCCGACTGATAAGGAGCGACGTCTTCTCTTCAGAGCTGAAGCGTACTAAACTAAAAGCTCGTTTTCTTATTCTAGACTAAACGAAAACTGATCAAACACCTTTCAGCGCTCTCTGAGAGTGGATAATTTAACTTAAGAGTTAACTTTAAAGAGTAGCGGCTCAGATTTTGTACAACAAAACTGCTTTATTACACTGTAGGCTCTGGTTTCCTGCTTACAGACGAACATATTCCACCTTTACTCACCTATGGCACTTCCAGTAACGACATGGATCCAAACAGAGACAACTAGAGCGACGCATGTCCGACTCCAACCAGCGCCGTCCATCTTGGTCCGGTTGTGTTTCCCAGTGAACTGAACTGATCAGCTGAACCACAGGCGCTATGGATGGTGTGCAATTTCCCTCTTCCTCCTTCCCACCAATCATCTTTAATGACAGGCTGTAAAATGTTGCAGTGATGTTGGACAGTATCAAAGATCAAGGAGCACAGAGTGTCATTTCCCCTGAACAGAGTTTACAGCCTGCCTAAAAGGCCTGACTGACACCAGCTGCTCGCTCGGCCGGCCACAGCTGCTGTGCTTTTGTTTTATGTTCCAGATGTGATTCAATGTGTGGTTAGATATTTTAATTTGTGGGTTTTTCTGAATCCTCTTATGCATTGCTATGATGAGGCCCTTGTAGATAAAGGACTAAATGTACATAAAACAACTCTGAAAGTTTGAGAATAATTTCAGAAATTTTCTAGAATAAACAAGAAAATTTCTGAGTTTTTAAGTTGAAAGTTTTTGACTTTTAAAACTCAGAAAATTTCCAAAATGTGAAAATTTGTTTATTTTTCAAACTCAAAAATTTTCTTGTTTCTCAAGAAAATTTCTGACATGAATCTAAAATTTATTTTTGATTTTTTTCTTGCATATTTTTGACTCTTCACGTTCAAAAACCTCCTTGTTTTTCTAAAAAGTGTATATAAATATACATAAAAAACTAAATATAAAAAAACTCAATATAATTGAGTTTTTTTATATGTGTAAAATCTTTTACAGAGACGTTACAAAGGTTAAAGTGATCTCATTAGGAAGGTATGAGTCAGGAGATTAAATAATCCACACCAATATATATTCATGTACTTTGGCACGACAAACACAGTCATTGCTAATAAGATATGGAATAACAGTGATAATGCAAAAATGAGTTTAGTTTAGCTTTATTTTTTCAGTTGTGGGCAATCATAGTAGATGACTAGAAAACTATATGAATTTAAATTATTTTCAAAAATGTCTCCATTCTCACTCAGTGTCTCATGAATGTGATTTTCTCCTCATCTACCTGAAGTTCTTGTTTAGATTTAGTGATATTCTGAAAGTTTTTATGTTATTGCATCAGAAAGAGGAAGCGTTTTAAAAATAATCTAACTTTATTTTCCTCTAGTCTTGATCACATTAAGTTCTAAAAATATTACAAAAATATTTCTCTCATTTTATTTTGCAAAACTTTGAAAACAAACAAGCCTCTATGTATGTTTTATCACTTATAAATGTGACATTTCTTCACAAAGGTTTTTAGATTTACATATGAACTTATTTTGTCATAAATACAGTTTTTATTTGATTTTATGTAAGAGTTTTGTTTCTATTTGCATTTGCCCATGTTAAATATGGATTTATATTTTAGATATGTTTATCAGTTCATTCACATGTGTTTTTTCTCCTCCTGTGGCTTCATCTAGAAGAGAAACAATCACATTACATGACACACCCCATTAAAGATGGGAAACCTTTGAAAAAAATATTACGCTCTCATTTTTATGTCCCAAAAACTTTGTATTTTCACAGTTATTTTTGTTTTTAATCCACTGCATGATCACTGTTGTCCAGCACATTCCCAGCCAACGGTGAAGTCGTGACGCAGCACCGAGTTTATCAGAATATCATGTTTCCAAATTCCTGCTTTACAATCCACCAGATGTGGCAAAGTTTATAAAAAGAATCATTACCTGAAGGAAGTGCGTAAGAGCCAAAGTCAAGATATTTTCCGCATAATCAGTTAAATCTGCCTGAAAAGGGAAACATCTGTTTATGGGAATCTTTAGGGTCTTTAGCTGTTTTGGGTTTTTGGTGGATGTAATTTCATATGTTTTTTTAACCCATTTAGCACTTACCACTGCGCCTAATTCAACCTGCTCCGTCTCTCCTTTAAAGCACTTTGGACCCGTGTCCTTAGGTTTATTCAGCCATCTGTAAATGCCTGTCGTTTAACAAGCTGTGAATAATTAAGAGAAAGAACATTTCATTCTGTTGTGACTTACACTTATATGTTAAGTATAATTTGCATTATTATTATTATTATTATTCGCTGAATTTAACATGATTGTACACAATTACAAAAGGGTGAAGTGAAACATATTTAAGTGCAAAGCATGATTTATTTTGGAGAGCGGAAGTCTTTTATTTTGAAGAATACTTAACAGGATATAGTTTTTTCTTTTGTCATATCTGGCCTTCTGTTGATTTGGTTACGAACAGCCATTGCAGTTAGCAGCTGCCGCCATTTTTAAATAAAAACTGAACAGAAACATGTTTGCAGGAACTCATCCCTCAAAACTTGACCATTTATTTTGTGTTGTGTTTTATTATTAGACTCTCCAGGGCTTTAAAACAGAAACAAAAAACTTGCAGATGCAAAGACAAATAAACACCTGATTAAGGTGATTATTAATTTCAAAGCTGCTCTTTAGCAGAACTTGAACAGCAGGTGTCTCCACTGCTTCATGTCTGGGTCAGTACAACTCCAAGGTCTCTTCAGGGTAAAACATCCTTCTTATATGATTGCAGTTTTAGCTTCAGCTTCTTCAGTGGAAACACAGAGTGAAGGAAAGAGGAAGGAAAGAGCCATCGGAGCCGTCAGGTAGACATTTGTTTTTGAAGAGTTTTAACAGAACACCACCGTTTGGTTTCATACTAAACTGGACTTCAGTCCTGTTTTGTTGCAAAATGAAATATCTAAAAGTTTTTAAAAAGAAATAAGAGGCTTAGTTTGACTATTAGAATGTCCACTTTCTTCTCAACAGCCATGACAGGTAAAATTAGTAATAAATGTTTATGTGTTTTTTGTCTTCTGACAGATCAACGCCTGAGACAACAAAGGTAAGTTTCCCTGTTTGATCCTCCAAACATGCGCAGGTCTTGTTACTGATATGAATTATTGTAATCTTGGTCCAAATTTCTACTTAACTTCATATTTTGATACAGCTGATGATGTCATTTTAAAATATTAAATTATTGATGTTTTGATTAGTTACTCAGTACTTGAGTAGATTTTCTCCAAATACTTCTTTTTTTACCCTTATTTGAGTAATTTCTTGGATATTTGGATACTACCTTTTACTTTTAGTTGATTAAAATTATGTGAAAGTAGCGCTGCTTTTACTTGAGTACAATTTTTGGGCATTCGACCTCCCTGTGGTAATATATACAGTGATTATATATTACAGAACTCCTTAAATAGCCATACCTGACCTGTGATTGTGTTAGTATTTAATTGAAACTGTGAAAAACAGATTTAAAACAGATTGAAAACCTTGAAAATCTGTGTTTTTTTTAAACCTTTTTCACACTTTAGGTAGTTATTGAAACTCACATTTTCAAATAAATGTATCTCCAAATAAAACAAAAGTT